AATATTCGTTTCTGAAAATGGTCAATGATTACTCGAAGGAATGTACGTTTATTTAATTAACTTTCGAGATATGAACTCATCAGGTTAGTTCCAGCTACCGCATTAAAATACGCAATTTATTGCACACTCAGAACATGGCTGTGTATGCATAATTAATATCATCAAAAATACCATGGGCCTTGGAGTTTTCAAAAACAACTTTTGTAACTGAGAGAAACCGACTTTGTCTCGCACATTATCTTTCTCAAACATTAAATGGCAAGTCATGCATTTTGTGCAAAATATTTTATCTTAGCACAGCTGAGATTACTCACCTACATTTTTTATTATTATTTGTAAAATTTAATAAAATAAACGACTCTCAATTATTTCTTATTCATTTGACTTTTTTCTATTTTTGTTATGGAGAATGCTCAAAATTATCTAGATCACTCAAACATACTATATTATAAGGCATTTCTCCCACCTTCTTAGCATGCCTTCGTGGTGTATTGGTCAGCACGCTCGACGCGTATTCGAGAGGTCCGTGATTCAAGTGCTGGCGAGGGCATTGCTCATTTTTCATTTCTCCAGCATCGAAATAACGTAATGTCTCTATAATATAAATATGTTTAAAGTCCGCTTTTGATTCGTTCACCGTTTTTCCTCAAAAGTTGAAAATTTTGGATATTAACTTTGAATATATCACTTGTTTTTTATTGTCATCTGATTTATTTCTGGAACAGTGCATCAGCGAAGCAATTTTCTTCTCTGTTGTATACTGGATTTTTAAGTTGCGCTCCTGCGGTTTTATCGTCCATTTTTATCAATTTGGAGATAATTATTTCCAGGAATAATGACGAGTGATCACCTATTGTTCTGCGCGTCAACCAAAATAAATCCTAAAATTCTGAACTGCTATTTTCAATGCAAGCATTTCCGACTCGACGTTATCTCTTTTGAGTACCTTTTAGAGTTTTACAAATGTATGCGACTGGCTAATCTTTTAGTATAAGTACTACTACTGCAGCAAAATTAGATGTGTCTGCGAGTCATTTAAATTTCTCCTCCATCTCAGAAAGATTCAACTCTAGATCTTCAATTATTGCAGCCTTCAAGTTTTCAAGCACCGTATTTCCTTCCGCTGACCAAACAAATTTCGATATTTTAGGTTCAAATTCAACAACGGTTTCGCAATAGTTGCGAAATCCTTAACTAATATTCTATAAAAAGAACATAAATCTAAAGATAATGCTAGTGCTGATATTTTCATTGTTGTGGGGGTGGATAATTTCGGAAACTCACGGTTTGAGATTCATCCATTTCAATATTTTTATTGAAGAGCTTACAACATAAACACCAAAGCTGTTTCGTCGCAAGTCTGCATTTTTCGGCATTAAGTTTTAAACCAGTTTCTTGCAACGAAGTAAAAATTTCAACTAAGTTATAACCACGTTTCTCCACTGCATTTCTCGTTACGATGATATTGTCATGATAAATGAATGGAGATTTACTTAATGTTGACTTTAAAATAATGTTTAAGGCGATTTGAAATGTAACTGAAGCTCCACACAATCCGAAGTTCATCTTAGGAAATCTTATATGCCTGATTGGCATACAAAAGTTATTTTAATAATAGCTTCGAGCCTCATCGAAAGTACATGGGTATACGTATTAAGGTTATGTCATGAACTAATTATTTACTAAAGGATTGGGAAATTACACCAGATATTTTTTATGGTGTTCAGGTTTTGTATAATCCACTTCCAAACATCATACTTTCAGGCGGGAGGGGGTAAATCATTCTTTTCCTTTCACAGCATAATCGGGCTGGCATGTGGAGTACAGTAAAATATCTGGTAATCGGCATCCATTAAACCGGTAAGGTAAAAATAATGGAAATTTTGAAGGTATGAAATTTAGGCTTATAAGACAAAAAATATGTAATGAACAAACAGTCTGAAAATATGCATGGGACTAACATCTGTTGTGCTGCTATGAATTATCCCACCTAATTGAGAGTAACATCAAATTAGGCCTCTTAAATCAGAGCAAGAATTCGTTTCGCCTGTCGTTAGCAAAAGACTTGGGCACACTATACAGTCGGCAGTATGACTTTGCCTAGTTCTGCCTCCGATTTTGATGGAGATCACCCAGGTAGAGATGGGTCCGATGGTCTTCCACTTCTGTTCCTCTGCTATCAACCTCTTGAGAAGATTTTTAGACTCGGGGCACTAAAGTGACTATCTTAAATGTAGAATGTAGTTCAAAATAACAAAACTTAACGAACAATGAACCAAGGAATTATCCAGAATATAAGGAAGAATGATAAGTCTATTGATAAGTCTATTGATAAGTTTGAACTTAAATTTTAAATTGAATTAATTTTACAGATATGATGAATTTCTGTAATCGAGTTTAACTGCAATCACTAGTTTCTAGATTTCAGATTCTAAGTGAAGTTATACAACATGGGGAAAGTGATCCGCTTCTGGTTATACTATACTTTTCACTATATTTTTAATAAACATAATGCATATAGATATAATGATACTTTATAAGTCTTTTAACGCTTTCGTTTTCTGTTCGACCACATTTCGCTCATCCATATCAGCGGTTGATCAGGAACTCGACGATCGGAAAGTTGCTGTAATTAAGAAAGGCTTATATTATTGACCGGCTAAGTATTTCCAAGTTCAAATAAGAATAAATATCTTTCTACTCCAATTGATTATAAGAATTTAGTTGCTCAATCTTTCCGTCCATGATTTGCAGATCTCTCGCATTTTATGCAAATCTAATTTCCGAATTACCTTTTCTTCCTAATAAAATGTGCATTTCTGTCCTCTAAGATTCTATTTCAGACATAAAGTCTTGGTGAATTCATAATATTCCTTAATAGGGCGACTTTACATGTAGGATATTCAATAAGAAAGATATGATTTTTAAACGGAAGTGGAAAGCTGTTGTTTTGCTAATTATAAGCTTTTCTTTGGCGTGTTTCTGTTCTGTCTTGAACATAGTTTTGTAATTGTCTCCTGTAGTTCATCATTTGAAGTAGTCAAAATTCCTACTCTGATTAAGTCTTGTTTACCAGGATACACTTTCATGATTTGCTAAAACTTTCACTGAAGTAGAGGAAAGATTTGTTTTTTAATAAGCATTATTTCATGCATCTGGAGTTTTCTGTTCTTTTTGCTACACTAAGTACTCTCTTGAAGCCCACACTAGACATTTCCAAAACAACATTTCAACGTTTTTTGTGTTGTAAAATCACTAATACTAATGCTCAAATGATTCTCTAGAATCCGTGTTTAGTATGATTTATTTGTGTTTAATATTAATTGAATCCGAACTCCTATTTAACAAAGTATCAATATGAAAATATCTTGGAATTAAAAAGCGTACTTAGGAAAAACACATTTGAAGTAATGTTCACGAGAAGACTCATGAATGTATGAGCAATATCAAAAACACTACTTTAATGGGAAAGAAGAGATCCAAGAACCTTCACAATTCAAATGTCATGAACTATTTCCTCCAGCAGCTCCTGATCCGAAATATCGAGGCTCTTCATATTTAAGTCACATAACATTTGGTTACAACCTTTGTTCATACAACTTTAATTACTTTTAAAAGCAGTTTTTTAGTTTCCTTATGTATTTCGAAATATTGGTTTTAGGAAATGCGTCACTTCCAATTTGATAACTAATCAATATGCAAACAACTATTTAATTACAATATGAAAAATTTAATGTTCAGCAACCTGCTGTATTATTACTTTTCCTTTTACTGTCACGTTTTGTTCGTCGGCTGTCACCAACAAATTCTTGAGTTTAAGACAGAGCTTTTAGCTTTAAGTCATTGCTGACCCTATCGATCCTATTTTAACCTAGCCTCTGGTTTACTAGAATTCGACTTCAGCTTTGCTAGCAGTACTTTCTCTCGAAAATTGAGGAACTGAGCCAAAATTTGTATGCGCTCTTTGTCCTGTAAATCGCATATTTTAAAACTTAAATTTTGCTTTACTTTGTTATCGTTCATCTCCCAAATAAAGGACGCTATTTTTGGTATTGTACAGGTTTATTACATTCAAGAACTAATAAAAATGCTAACTTAAAACTTTCTTTACTCGATATTACTGTATTGGGAGATTCAGATATGGTGATCAGTCGCTCGGCTGTCTTCTAAGTGTAAGAGTAAGCATTTCAAATAGTTAGAATCCATACACTTACGATCAAAGTGTATAATTAAATACATTTGGAAACTCCGCAACTCTCAGTTAAGCCCAGCTCGCATGTCAGGAAGACGCGTGAAAACAAAACTATTAGTCTATATTTTATATCTGAAAAATAATAAAAATAATAAAAGAATAATTAATTAATAAATAGCAATAATTAGAAAGGATATCAGTACCATTCATAGATGCTTTAAAACTGTTACTCTTGTTCGTAATTCGACAGCATGTATGAGCAATATCTGATTATCTTTAGAATTCTAATTTATCAAGAGTATCATTTACGAATACGTTTTGCTTCTAACTGCTGTCAAATTATATTTAAAACTCTTTTAAATGGCATTAGAAAGCGTCTACGTTCACGTACTTTAGAAATTTTGAAGCATACGAAATCTCCTGTATAATACTTTGCGTATTCCGTGATAGTCATGTCATAATATTTGGGAAATTGTTGTTTAAAATTTCAAAAAGGTGCTTCTATCTGTTTAATGCACTACTCCACTTTAGAAAAAAGACTGCAATTTGCCCTGTTTGATGATTTAATCCCTAATATACCTACGCATAAAAGGCGAAGAAATAAAACAAGTGCCACTGCAGTGAGGTATCAACCTTATGAAAAATGAAAACTTCTCTAGAAACTAAGATAAAACTGTGATAAAACATATTAAATAAAAATGAACAGCAGATAGTTTTAGTTTAAAAATTTACCACTACATGGCGCTGTAACACACAAAAATGTTTGACTGGATTATGGACGCTATAATGCTTACATTACTGTTAATAAACTCATACTTCAGAAGCACTTATTGTACTACATTTGTTGGAGCTTAGGTTCTAATCTCAAGGAGAATATTCAGTAATGTTACACAAGAACAGCTGAATTAAATTTTAGTGCATGTATTTCGGATAAAACGGTATAAGCAGTGTACGAGATGCACAAAATATCTCACTTAATAGCTGTTTACTTCAGTTTCAGGCTTGCCTCTATCGCTACATTTGCACAAGGTAAGTGTTTCATGCTTCTACTTTTGTAATGTTTCTTAATGAAATGGGATTATTCGAAGATTTTATGTAAACTTTAAACCTTTTTAAATGTATTTAATTTTAAACACAAGTTTTTACTTATTCTGAAGTAAAACTCCTTGTCTATGATGAGTGGATAATTTAGGATTATTTCACTGTTTTTAAGTGATTTAGAGTCCATTCAAAAATATCCTCTAGTTATGAATGATTTTTATAATCATAGTGACTCTTTAGAATTGTGTTATCTACGTAAAAAATCAGCGCTTAAACAATACGGATTTTTTGTTATAAACAAGTAAAATAATTCGTGAACTTGTATTTAATAACATTGTATATTTGGAAATAAAATACGAAAAATTGAATGGGGGATATTTTCGTCCCCAGACAACAGAAAATAAAGATGGCATATATTTATTATATAATATCCTTAAAGTCAAACTGAGACTGTTGTTCTTATCTTACAACAAAGCTATAAAGTTACTTCGCCAAGTAAGGTTTTTGCATAAATATATCCCTTTAAAATATATTATAAACATCGAAAATAATTTTAGCCTTTTCGTCTTTATCATTCTGCATTTTGCCTTGCTTTTCAATTGTTGTTCAGAACCTTAAAATTCCTTTTTTTACAATATATGAAAGTAAAATTTAAATTAAAAGTTCCAACTGCATATGGAATGTCTCTTAATTGTTCTTATATGCGTATCTATAAATATCTGCGATTGCATAAAGTTGAAGATAATAAGGACTAACTAATAACATTTGTTTTATATGCTTTAATTTTCATAATTGTCAATATTATGAGGGAAAGTAATAAAGCAAAGCTCACATGACAAAAACAAGTTCATTCTCTCAGACCTAGTATTATATAGCATATCTATAAAGGACCGCAACTAGAGACTTGGGGTGCCGGGCCAACTGATGGTAATGGGGTTAACATTTTTATTGTTTCTCCCAATGTATTAAATCAGTCGTAAACAAATAATCGGAGATTATTATCTTTTCTGTTTCCATTGCTAAATTAGTAAATTGATTATATGATGCACATAATTCGTAGATCATGATTTAGAAATTTACAATCGTTATAGTTTAAATTTATATCCTGTTTAATAATATTTTATTATTTTTAACTGAACTATAAAGGATATACTATTAAACCTCCGTTTAATTTTGTATCTTGTTCATTCCTATGTCATATATATTTTTACAGCTATCATGTATTAAAGAAATACTAAATATTTATTCAAAGTAGTTTACTGGTATTACTTGATTTTATTTTATGCAATTCTAACTGTATTTGTAACAATAATGTCTTAACTAATAACTGTTAAAAATAAGTAGTTGTATTATGTTCTGAAGATTGGACTTTACATTGCATCCATGCTCTCCGTATAGATGGGCTCACAATATTTAACTATCATTTGAAATATTAGAAGTGTTTCGCATCCTAGTGATTAGGCTCATTCCTTTCAATGATTATATTTATCAATGATTATACTTATTAATGATTATATTTATCAATGATTACTCCAATTTACATAAATATTTATAGCCTAGATGTTAAATGATGTATATTAATCAATAATTTAAACCTTGCATTAAATTAATCCTTGCGTTAAATTATGTCAGCATTTTATAGTTAAAAGCTGCTAATGCAAAAAGTAATTGAATTTATTTAAATTGGTGGTTTGTGTCTTTTCCTCACCTTACGACCCTAAAAGGGACTTTATTAGATTTCTTATCCTCTCTTTCTCTTAGCATAGAAAATATAAAAATACTCTCATATAACGTTTTAAAAATATTTTTTGACTGTAAATTTAATTAGTTTTTTAGCTTCTTTTAGAAAAGTATTATTCCCGATTTCTTCTTGTCATCGTGGTTTGTTCTCTACTCCATACATTAAATACAAAATAAAGATATAAAAATAAATATTTAATCACCAATAATTTATTCTTTGGTAAACAATATATATATATATATGAAAAGTAGTTTCACTATTTACTTCCAGTATACAAAGCTAATGAAATAAAACTCCGGTTTTAATTAAACGGATATGCTTGTTTTTTCCTGCAAATTAAATCATGGTGCGTTATGCCTAACAAATTAAACTATAGTGCAATATCTGACACCTGGTAGACATAAAGCATTTTCAACGTTTTTCAGCGATGAGTGATATTTGGATTTAATAAAAGTTAAAGCTAAAAAATCATTTCGCATAACTATGTAGTGCTAAATGGCAGGGTATTATTTAATACCTTTTCATAAATTATCGGAAGTTCAGTTCTAGCTTCAATACAGAATTCAGCCGAGGACTTAGTGGAAACTCAAATTTTGAGTCACTCGATAGCTCAAAAAATTCCTCTTTGGCTCAAAAATACGGCAGGCGATTTATCTCTTCAGTGTCAATCAAAAATGTTTTTTGAATACAAAATAACTTCTTTAAATCAAAATTCTAGATAAAATATTGACAAAACTGTGCTTCTAGAGTTTTTAAGTGATCTATAATGATTTTGAAATTAAAGTTTTACAGTTCGTTTTCAGTTATAGAAGTTTTAATAATAGAAAACATTTCGAATGAATCATTTTGTACCGTATTCTGTCACACATTGATTGTTTTAATAAAGCCTTCATTTCTATCGAAGTAAATGTATTGTTCGAATAAATCATTTTCCACTATTCTGCCAAACGTTGATTGTTTTAATAAAACCTTCAATTTTAGCGAAGTAAATGTATTGCTATTTTTTTATTGAAGGTACAAGTCAAAACCGTTTAGTTTCTCAAGAACATCTAAAAGACGGTACAGATTTGATTGCCATAAGCCGTTTTGAAAAAGAGCAGAAAGATAATAGATTTTTGCACCGTTAAAAATATAATAATGTTACGGTTTTTGTATTTATTTAGCTATTTTTAGTAGAATTTATAATTAAAATTGTTTCCTATTCCCGTGCAATGCAGCACGAGACTTATTTGAGGAGAAAGCTACGTCGAAAAAATTAAAATACAGGAGCACGCGCATTTAACATTTTAATAAATACATACCTCGTAATTGAACTCTTGCGATCCAGAAAAATTGAGAAAATACGAGAATGTTCTCGTGCATTTAAAAAGCTTATAAAAGCTGGAGGAAAACATCTCAATTCAGTTGTTTAAAAAACTGTTATTGTTTACTGTAGCGAATTCGCAGCGAGATCGGATTACGTTTCTCTGCTTTGAATTGTGTTCTGTAAAATGTTTTAGTAGTTTAAAATATAACTGCTGTGAGATATTGCGATATTGTACGATTATCTGTGAAGAAAATTTAAGCATTTTGTATTTATTCTTGGGATAAGAATAAGTTTTATTCACTTTTCATCGGATTTGTGCATTTAATTCATTACGAACCCGTACTCACGCAACAATAATTTCATTTTTTAATAGAATTAATCTTCGTAACTGTGCGTACATACTGTGGGTTTGCGGAATATTTTGATGTTGAAATTGCAGTGCATTCCCGCTGTTATGTTACGATTAGTAGAAATTTTCAATGTGTAAATATAATTTACAGTTTAACTTAACCAGTATTACGATATTATAATTGCGTTGTACGAAAAATGTAATATATTAAATTAAGTATAATAAAAGTACTGTGAATTATATTTCTTTAAATTCATGTATCTGGATTAAATTTTCAATGTGTAAATATAATTTACAGTTTAACTTAACCAGTATTACGATATTATAATTGCGTTGTACGAAAAATGTAATATATTAAATTAAGTATAATAAAAGTACTGTGAATTATATTTCTTTAAATTCATGTATCTGGATTAAATTTTCGAGATTCCAACATTTCGATTTGCGACTCCATTTGGGGTCATGATCTACAACTTAAGAAACACCGTTCTAGAAGTATTTAGTATTCTGACTATTACTTCTCTGATGCTTTCAAAATTATCTTTAGAAGGATAACTCTGATGTTTTTAGTTGTTTTAAAATTTCCTTTGAGTTACAGGTACTAAAATTTTCACTGTTTAGTATTGAATAAACATGTACTCAACTATAATGCAATAGCGGTAGTCTCTGGTGGCCAATTGTTAACCATTTCTTGATTCTATGTGGGACAATTCAGTTAAGACTTAACTGGGCTACAGCGAACAAAATTCAGATACTCAGTTGTTAAATTCTTCCAGCGGAATGCTTATTGCTTTGATAGATCATATAATACGATAATATCAAAAGTAACTGAATTCTTCATATTAGTTAAATATTTAAATTTTTTTCAGATGCCCCGAAAATCCAGAAGTTTCAGTTCCCAACGAAGTTAGAGGTTAATGAGAAAACAAGTGTTACTTGCATGTTAAGACGCGGTCAACCTCCTTACGTCTTTAGATGGTTTAAAGATGGTAAAGAAATCGAGAATGGTGGAGAAATAACAATTCAAACTAGTAAATTTTTATCGACTTTATTAGTAAACCCTGTTACTCATGCTGCTGCTGGTAATTACACATGTGTTGTATCTAACTCAGAAGGAAAGGATTCCTATTCTTCTTCACTTACTGTAACAGGTATGTATTACGCTATATTTACAACTTAATATTTTATATATTTTTGTCCAACTGAAATTTCAGTGTTACGTTTTGATTACTTGACTAGTGTTGCTGCCTGCTATATGTTGAAAACCCAATATTTTGGGCAGTAATGATTTATTATTGGACATAATATCTGCAGGCTCGTTTATCCATTTCAAATACTAAGAATAGGAATAACAGTGCCGTGACACTCAAATCCAGAAAAATGTGTTAAATTATTTAAAATTCGTAGAAACGATGAATTTGTAATAAATCTCGCAGTAGTTTAATCTCCTAATTAATCATGCAATTTATAGAAAAGCACGTGGATATAGAAGTGGTAATTATGCATTTGGAATGTGCTTTAATTAGAAAAGTATCTAAAGGTTTAAGGAGAGGCATTAAAATAAACAAAGCAGAATAATTAAATTTTCAAACAAATCTCTTACTCATATTTCTAAAATACTATTCTTAAAGAAAAGCTATCGCTACTCAAAAGGAAAAATTTCATACAATGTAACTATTTAACGGTGAAGCTAAAACCTATTCCAAATGAAAATGTTGTATCAATTCTAATGTTGGTCTGGAATGATCCCATAAAGCTGCAATTTCAATATCAGTTGCATATGGATGAAACTATTCTTTCTTCAACGTTTTTAATGTGATTTTAGTCATAGCATTATGGGAATAATATATATATATATATATATATATATATATGTAAAATATAAAAAAAACACGATGGCTTTGCTCTATGCGAACCAGCAACCTTTAATTAACTTTCCGCAATTTCAGGATCTTCCCCCTAGAGCAGTACTTTCGAGAAAATTCGAGCATATTACGTAACCGCTCCTATAAACAAAGAATCCGCGCCACTTTGCGTCAGAGAGAGAGACTGCTTTCTCCTTCTGCTGTTAAGATCTATACTACTGATCTTCTCATCTGCCACCCTTTGTCCGAATAATATAACGTAATAACCTTAAAGTTAATCTTATCTTAGTAAAGAAGATAGATCTGCTGTTTGAATTGAATAGAGATATGGAGCTATAAATTTAAATCCTTTTGTGTCATCATTGGATGCCGCTTTACACTTAGCCACAACAATGTTCAGAATTCTGAGGTGACCAGATTGCCAAGCTTCACTTATGTGCTCGACTGCCAAAATATTACATACATATGCACCATAATATTAATAAATCGTATTTACTCATCGTAACACGCAGAAACAGTACTTACTATTGTAGTAGTCGACGAAAATTAAATTATATCATGTATTGTTTTATAAGGCTTACTAGAAATGCGGTATTAATGAAACATAAGTTGAGTCCAGGTTTGAGCAAGAAATGAATGGTAGTATATATTAATACATCCAAAACTGAAAGTTGCTAAACAGTAGTTATTATAGTAACTCATGAATTTTCAAATGTAGGAAATTATTTTATAAACATTTTGCTATAAAGATACTAATGTTATGTTCCTGATACAATGATAATGATTAATCAGAGATTTGAAATAATTATTTACTACTTCTTTTTGTTTTAGCTGCACCATCATGGGTTATTGAACCAACTGACGCAGAAGCAGTAGTGGGTCAAGTATTAAGAGCCATTTGCTTTGCGGATGGATCCCCGAAACCAGATATTCGGTGGACTAAAGCGGGTAATGCTGATTTAAAGAAAATTATGACTTTGATGCAAATATATCAGAAGTATATTTCTATTTCTAATGATAAAAAAAATTTAAATTATGAGAGATTATGTGTTTTAAATTACATTTTTCCTTGTATATTATCACATTATTTAAGAATTTCTGTAAACCTTTCTGACTTATTTCAGCATTTAAAAACTTAATATAATTGTACTTGTCTAAAATACCTAAGCATCTTATGAAATGCCTGTTGTCTAAAATATTTAAGTATTTTAAGAATGCCAGTTAATTAATCGAATAAATAAGACAGACACAATTAGACACAGTTTATTTTATTCCGTTCATTTCAGTTGTTAGAAGACCTTATTTCATTAACTCTTAAATGACAAAAACCGTCGGTAGTTTCGAACAGGTGCTCCTGCAAACGTTTCATGCTAGGAATTTGTATGAAAATTTCTTTGGCTTCGCACAGATTAGACGTTGTTTGGCTTCGTATAGATTACACAGATTAAAGGCTTTTTCTGCATTAAAAATTTTGTATTACTTAATAACTAAATGAATAGTGAATTATTAAGTAATGGATTCAGATTTGCTAATTACCTTAATCTTCATCATTATCTCGGAATGCGCGTTAACGAGCATAAGGTAAAGCTCGCTTCGGTTTGAACTAATGAAAGGAACAGTTAAATTGGTTTTATTTTTTCGAAACTAATGGTGTTTGAAAATACAGGCATACATTTTTGATTAACTTTCAGATTTGCTAGTTTTATTGCTTTAATTGTTGAATAGTACTTATTTTAACTTTGCAATTAATAAAATTTGGAAAGGTACATATACACTTTTTTTCGCAATTCATATTTATCTACAGAATAGCAAATGATTAAAATTTCAGACAAATTGAATGATTTATTTCAGAGTTACATAGTTACAAAATAACGAACTCGATTAGGTGTTGACCCACCTCTAGCTTCTATGAAATCTAGCACAGACAGATAAAGCTCCGGGATGGTCTCCTGCGGTATTTCTTGCCAAATTTGCTTTAGTTGTCGGGCTCGGTCATCAACATTACCTGGTAGATGCAGTCGCCTTCCCATCATATCCCAAATACCCTCGATGGAAGAGAGATCTGGCGATCTGGCTGGCCAAGGAAGTGTTTAACACGCTGTAAGACAGTTCACAGCAGCACGTGCTGTATGTGGTCTGGCATTATCTTGCTGAAAAATAAGGCCAGAATACTGCAAAAGGAACGGTAGCAAAACAGGTCTCAGAACGCCGTCGACGTACTGCTGTGCTGTAAGTGTGCCTCTAATGACGACCAAAGGGATCCGGCTATCAAGGCAAATGGCACCCCAGACTATAACTCCTGATTGAGGGCCTGTGTGCAGGCAGGCCCTCAATCGGCAGGATCGGCACGCTGCTTTGGGCGTCTCCAGACACGTTTTCGATGATCGTCAAGACACAGGTGACAGGGGGGCCGGACGGCTTTCAAAGACTAATCAGCTATAGTCCGGGACCCGTTTCATCTAGAGCATAACATGTTTACAACATAGCGTTGTATTACCTACATGACAGGTGGACATTGCATGGCGACATAACATATCTCAGACATAACATGGCATACCATTTAGACATAGTACAGTATTGTGACATAGTATAGAATATAGTCATTCCATAGCGACATAACATATTTACAACACTAAATACACGACGTAATGTGACTTACACGACAGGTGGACATAGTATAGCGACATAACATAGTTAAGCATAGAGAAGACATAGCGACATAACATATTGAGGTTACTTATTTACAACATACAATTCACAGTGTGGCATGACCTATGCGACAGATGGACACTGCAGGGTGACATATCATAGCGTAGCGTAGACATAACATGACACAGCATTGCAACATGATATGACATGACATAGAATAAGGATTACATATTTACAGCATTAATTCACAACGTAACTTAACTACATGAAAGGTGGATATAGCGTAGCGACATACCATAGCATCTCATAGACATTGCATACATATTATTGCGACATAACATATTGACGTCACAGATTTACAACATAAAATACACAGCGTCATATAGCCGCCTACACGGCATATAGAACATAGCCTTGCATATGACCATAGCATGGAGGCATACATTTTGACAAAACATTTTTATAACAAAAAAAATAAATAAATAAATAGCATAACGTGACCTGTACAGCATTTGGGCATAGCATAGCGTAGACAAAAGTGATTGAACATAGTATAGCATACACATAACTTTGCATAGCATAGCGACATGACATAGCGTAGCACAAAGACATAGCTTGGCAACTTAACATCATGATATAACGTATTTACAACCGTTAAAATATACAGAGTTACATAACCTACACAAATTTGCATATTATTATTAAATACTTTGCCATATGGCATTCTCTGCATGACGTCTCGTACACTACGAATACATTTTAAATCATAACGTACTGCTGTATAATATTAACAACCTTACATGGCCTACACAACATTGCATACAGAAACATGACTTTTTGTGAATTAGCACAAAAAGACAAAAACAGAACGTCAATCAGTACATATGGAGTGTTACCAGGCACATAAAAATAGACTAAGCAAATATTTAGCTGCACATAACTGCACATAGCTCACTATTTGGAGCTTCTTAGACATTATTATGTTTGACACAGCTCTTGTCCAAGCGCTTCGAGTTTATCCATTATACATTTAATTTTCTTTGTAAATGCTGGTTGCTTTATTAGAAAGCGCTTGAATGGGACCTCAGAAGCACGGAAATTAATGTGCCATTTCTGTGTTAAAGGGAATTCCACAATATAATGATCGCGCGACCTTTCATTGCCGCCGACACAGATATTGGTGGTAGACATGCCTCTGTCTTTGAAATAAAACGGGAAGGGTCCATGACCCGTTATGAAGCGCGTGAGGTAGGAAGCGGAGATAAGCCGGTCTGTCGTACTCTATGTATAAAGTCATCAGTTCTCCGGTCTTGTTGGATTGCACCCCATTCCTCCAGCCACAGGCTTAGGGCTGTTTCCCTGCGCTTTCCTTTTAAGGTGCGATTACGGCAGCAAAATCGAAACTTCTTCTGCGTCCGGATTTTGGGCGGCCTTCTTTGCCTCCTGCTTTTTCATTACCCTGGTTTCAGCGTGTCCGCCTGGAACACTATGTTTCCAGGGTTCATATGTCCTTTCCAGGTTGCTAGTACATCTCCTTTATTATATGCTACAAAAGCGCACCACACTTTTCCATCTAATTTGGACCCGTCTGTAAATATGATTACTCCTAGGCCGTCTACTTTTGGTGCGAGAGCTGAGTCTTGGTACGGATTTCGGCGACGTCATAAGTGACGTCCCCGAAAGTCTACACATTTACAGTAGGAAAACCGAGTCAATTGCAGCCTCCTGCATTGCTTTAATTGGAAGTGGTATTAGCTTTGCTAGGACTGGTGCGGCTGCTGTTGAAGTCGTTCGATACGCCCTAGTTAAAGCAAGAACAAAAGGTCTCTGAATGCTGTTTAGCACTTTGGCTTTTCTGGCCGTCATCGGGCAGGCCCAGATTACCGCTCCATAAGTAATTATCTTCTCTACGACTGTAGAATAGAGAATTTTTAAGATTCGAGGCCCCCAATTTGATCCCATCGTCACGATACAGTTCGAAGCGCGATTCGTCGCTAAAGACTATACACTCCAGTCAGCATCATTCCAGCCTGATCGAGCCAAGCACCTCTGTAATCTGGCTCGACAGTGTGCAGGCGTGAGTGACAGGTGGCTTAACGGTCGATGTGAACATAGATTTTGATCTATCAGCTGTCTGTGAATGGTCATGGTGGACACTCGTGTGCAGGTTGCACTTCTGATGATTGATAGCGACGAATCCGGTGCTGCGACAGCTGATCTGACAATTACTTTATCCTCCCGATCTGTTGTGGCCCGATCTGTTGTATTTATATAAGTCGATCGCTAACATCACGACGCAGAAATCTGTCATAGTCCACCCATTCTTGCCATTATCTTCTAATCGCCGCATAGCTTCAACTCATATGTTGATCGATTCTCCGATTTACCCAACCTGCCTCTTTCAATCCAATGACAAGATCTCTTTCAAACACTGACAGTTGCTCGTAATGAGCTCAAATCCTGCGGTGAGGTAATTTTTTCAGTTGTTGAAAGATATCCTAAATCGCAATGAAACATAAATTTTTAACAACAGATCTAAGATATGGGATCGTATCTATGCTTCTGGCATCAACTTCTAAGAGTTCTGACCAGTAGTTAAATGTTATACCATAGGCCATTAGAAAATATAAATAATAAATAAGAGGCGTATTGATAAATACACCACACCCGAAGGCGAGATCGAAGTCATGAGTTAAACTCAGTAAATAACAATTGTAATAGAAATTATTAGACATATCAGTAGTAGTCGAGAGGAAAGTATCATCAATGGCAGCTGCAGTCAAAATGAGAGAGAGGCATCAGTTAGCGAGGAATTAAGCACTGGGCCAAGTGAGTAGTGGGAGCTATTTTTAACAATTCAAGAACAGCTCCTTATATATATTTGCTTGATGCGCAGCTCCGATGGGCTGGAGATCGCACTATTCATTCATTAGACACCAAATTTTAATCTTTTGCATATTTTGTCAAATCATTTACGCATACGATATTTCAAAGCAATCGGATGATTCCTTCTTTGGTGCGTCGATTTTTTTTGTTATAGAGCGCTGGCCAACCTTCACTGTTTTCAGTTAAGTGCACAAACACTGTCAAATGTTTCAGCCGCTTGACATCGATATGTACTGGAACAATTATTCATTTTTTACGAATTGATAAGAAATTAATCATAATCATCATTCCTCTTGATAAAAATATTATGCGATGTGATAATTATTTTAACTATAATAACGCCTAAAATGAAAGTGGTATAGTGAAATAAACTCCACAATGTGTTCCTGTTTCATTCACATGGTCCCGTAGGAAGCTGAATGGCTAACGACTGGAAACTTTTGATTTGAAGAAATAAAGAATTCGCAAGGATGTGAACTTGAACATAATATATGACCTGAATGTATGATAATAACGAAGGCTCACAAAACTTTAATAATTATACTAATACTATTTCATGTAAATTATTATATATATTACAAGTTATTAATTTGTAATTTGATTGCATATCTTTTACTTAGTATTTCATTTTAATAATAGGAACTTCTTTTCTCGAGTGGTCTGCTCGAGGGCACCTTGAAAACGGATCACTCATTTTCAGCCCTCTCAAAGAAGATGATGATGGAGAATATTCGTGTATTGCTGATAATGGTGTTGGAGAGAGTTTGCTTAAGAAAATCAAGATTATAGTACACGGTAATTAGAGTAAGATCGCTTTATAGAATCTGCATTTTTATATATGGCATTACCGAATACTGAAATAACATTTATTGCAAAATAAATTGTTACTTATAAACTATTTCTTAGTAATCTTATATTGTCTTCAGTACAGTTCTTTTTCTGTTTTTTATAACTCTGATAACATTACAAGACATTCAAAGAACTAATTTTGATACCTGAAGATTATCTTCAATGAAAGAATGAATGATTTTACAATTAATTACTTAATTTACAACATTATATTTCCTACAGATTACTTTGATAATTTTTATACGTGTTTGTAATGTCAATGTTCACCTATATGTGGCGCTAGTTGTTCGAGTATCGTTACAATGTTTTTAATGCTAGCACTATTTTATAGTTGAGCATCACTACTGTACAGACTATTATGATGTGTTTATGCTGAACGACTTCATCTAATGCTTTACATTAACCTAGTGAACTCCTCATTTACCTTTACTGTCACATATATGAATATTCGAAGTGCAGAAAAAATCTAAGTTTTGAAGGCAAAGGTGTCATATTTCGCCATAGATGATCGTTGTATTCCAGTTTTGTAAAATGTTCACGTACAAATGTGTCAGCTCCTTCATTGATGGAAACCGGAATATTAATAAACAAATGCTTATCTTCATTTGTTTATTTATGGAACTTATCTACAGTAAAGGTAAGCACACTTTTAGGTATTTAAGTTTTCATCTTATAGGTTTAAATTTAGTTTATATAAGCGCGCATGTAAATAATCTTATATTTGTATTGAAATTTAATTATTTTTCAATGAAATTATAATTTAAAACTGAATAATTAATAATTGTGAACATAATATTTAATTTGTATAGAAAGGTATTATGCCATAATTTCGTTTTTACATACCAAATAAAATTTGACATTTATTTCGCATTTTGTGCCGAGTAAATATTGTTACAACATACTTAAATGCAAACTAGAATACATTTTCTAAAAGTATACGAAAGAAATTTAAAAATTCAGACTTTTCTTTCTGAACCTCAGCATTAATATAAATAATGATATAGCTTTTTAAAAATTTAGAAAAATAATCGGTAAAGAATTAAATGCATTTATGATTCCTATTGAACAATATGCTTTGCATAATACAACGAACGTAAATTTCGCTTAACTTTTGTTGCTACCTAATTGCATGAGCTATTAAACTTTAAAAAATAGTATTAAAAACTTGATAAATTAGGTAAAATTTAAAATTAAAAAATAAATGTCAAGTATTTATTTATTTGATTATTTTATATATAATATTTCGTATCACAATGCAAATATTCATACATAAAGATAAAACATATTGTGAAGCTGGAATTTGAGCTAAGTCTGAAAGAGAGTATGAACTTACACATAACTTCAAAGTTTGAATATTGATTTTTAAAGTGGAAATTAATGTACTTCTTATTAATTAAGCTTAGCTTTTTAACATACATTCATTTCTGTCATTTTGTTAATACTAATGTGATCTATCAGGCAATTTTCTTAAGCCTTCAAAATTTGTTTGGAAGTAGAGACAAATTACGAGTAGGAAAATCACGTTAAACGAGCGTAATGAGTGCATGAGTAAAATTTTTCCTGGTTCCTTTTCGTTTAGATCAGTAACTAAATTTTATTCTAAGTATTACTTTTAATCATCTAATTTAAATACTGTCATCATTTGTGTTGGAATAAAATGTATATTACACAATATTTAAAAATCATTCTACGTACATTATTTTGTTTTATAATATGCTATTTCTTTTTTTTTTTTTTTTTTTTCAGAATCTCCAAAAATTCAGCATTTTCAGTTCCCCCACACAGTGAAAATAGGAGACAAAGTAAACATTCCATGCATGGTTACCAGAGGACAATCGCCTTTGAAATTCGAGTGGCACAAAAATTCGCTTCTTCTTAAAAATGATCAGAACGTACAAATTATTGAAAATAATGATTTTTCAAGGTTAATTATAAGTCCCGTAACCGAAAAGACATCTGGAAATTATACTTGTACTGTTAGTAGTCAATACGGCACAGACAGCTTTTCAACGTTTTTGAATGTTAAAGGTAAGATATTTTAACAATCATGAATCGTTTGAATACTTAAAACGCGTTTTTCTTTACTAAATATGTAGCTGAAGTTTCCTTCAGATTATTTTATTTAAAAAATATCTAATATGACAATTATTTTATTTAAAAAATATTTAATGTGGCAATTAATTTTGGAAAATTTCTCCCTGCTTATTGAATTCGATATTAATTCGATAGTTAAAATTATCATATTCTGTTATTTGGAGGCTATTTTTTGGTCATTGGTTTAATGTGACCGAAAATATTTTTTAAAAAAAGACTAAAAATACTTGAAACAAAATTATGTGATATCATTCGCTGTTCTATTTACTATTCCAAAATGATGAAATGCTTTCGTATAAATATAATATAAAATCTGTTGTGTACGATATTGCCTTTTATTTTCCCACTTATTTTATATATAGATGCGATATAACAGGAGAATTTTCTTGCATTTCAATAAGAAAAAAAGCATAAAAAATTCATTGGTTCAAATTATTAGAAAAGCATGAATTGTTTGAATGTTTAATATACTATTCTTAAACGTGGATTCATAAAATAAGTAATTTATGTTTGGAAAAAATTCATTTTCTGTTTATCTTAACTTACACAATAAAAGCAAAGGTGCATTTTATGGTTTGAAATTCAAGACATTATTTGTTAGAATGCTTTGAAAAAATTTTCAAAATTAGAATATAAAAGAATTTATAAATTGAGTTTAATGTGAGGGGGAGAAATGTAAAATCTTTAGTCACAATCAGTCGCTATAAATTATGTAAATGATTTTAGCATACCTAAACTCTTAAATAAAAGTATTTCAATCACTTAAAAAGTGCTGAACTTCTTAAACTTCATTATTTACTGCTTATGCTTTTAATGCATTTCTTTATAAATGAAGTTAAATGCATTTAAAAATATTTACATGAGCTAATATTTAGTTGTATTTATAGCACCACCGTCTTGGATACTAGAGCCACAAGATATTGGTATTACTGAAGGAAAGACAGCAAGTTTTCATTGCTTAGCTGACGGGTCTCCCAATCCTAAAATCACATGGAGACGCATTGGTATGTATTCAAGGTATTATGAGTAATATTGGAAATTTGTTACGGTATACGAAACAAGATTTAATGAATAGTTCCAAATAAACATAGAGAAATAATCATATTTTTAATTATACTTTTTAGGATTCTGTTTCATTAGTTACGGCATGAAATTTAATTCCGTTATAAATAAAGGTATTAGTTTAAATTTAATAAAACTTTGATGTGTAATAAATATTGGATTCCGTTTGAAGGAGAAGTATTCTGACTAGCGTTGAAAATTCATTAAAGTACGAAACACGATTTTATGAATAGTTGCAATTAAACGTTAGCAAATAATCATATTTTTAGTTATACAGTTTCAAGATTCTAAATTTCTTTAGCTACGGCATAAAATTCAATGCCTTTCTAGTCAAAAATAGGGTTTTAAACTTTTGTATTTTAAAACGTTGATATGTAATAAGAATGGAGTTCCTTTTGAGCTAGATATTCCTAACATGTTAACGTTAGCTAATATTTATTACTAACGAAAGAATTTAGCATGACTAATTATATGCAATCACTCCCAATTCAATTTTATGTGAATTTTTCTGAGTGGAACTAGTAAGCATGGTACCATTTGTCCCTGACGGAGAGGGACATATGCTCGATCACTTTCGAAATCGATAGAGTTTCTTTTTTAAATCTAAATCTACGTTAATGTAAGATTCCTTTTTTCGACGAATATTGCATTTTACATTAGTATATTTCTCTTATAATTAAACGTAAATATTTTCGGAAATAAGCTGGTATCCTGGTCTGTTAGTGAATATGCTGCATATTCATTTCTTCTGTATTCTACTTATAACAAACATTTGTGGATTATTGAATCCTAACAGACGATTTTATTTCTTTACATTTATACAGATTTAGTAATACTATTTACCTTTCTACGTATTTTACTTCCTAATTAACAATCTGAACTTATTAACATTTTAAAACATAAAAAACTTCAAAATTTATTTCTCATTCAAATAAATTAAAATCTAAAAGAATTCTCTAGCTTTTTATTGCAATGAATTTGCACTATTACTACAAATATTTTGCCTGATATATCATTTCCTTTGTGCCGTTGCTTTCTGAGTCAGGTTATGTCTGCCATGATACTTTCTGGACATTTCGATTAAATCTACCTTAATAAAACGTCACAGGAAATCAATTGTATATACATTCCATTTCCAATAATTAAAAATATTTTTAGTTTTTGCTCATACAAATAAAACATATTATTTCAGCATTTTATTCCCCATCCATGCAATATTCTGGATAATAAATTCAATACTTCGTGACAGTTTTTAAATTAAAACTCCTTTTATAATACATTTTGCAACAATATTAAATTCATACGTCTTAAGCTAATTCTGACACTTCTCCTCAATAATTTAATGATATAATTTGAATTTTTCATAGCAAGCCTTGTTATACTTATTACAAGAAACCAGAAAACGAGACTAAAAATTCGAATATAGTTAATATGGTGATCAAAATTATAATAATGAGCTAGACAGAGTACAAAAACAGGATAGAGAATAATAAAAATTTCTTTCAAGTAGTTACAGTAAATTAACGGAAAGAAATTTTAAAGATTTAAACTAATGTGTAATAAATGTTTGAAATAAACCTGTTTATGTAAATGATATACTTCGAGTTTGATGAGAAGTATTTTCTTAAAGTAATGAACTCAGAAATTTTCTTAGTTCATTAATAATTTTATTAGTTTAAGATCAGAGATTTTCCCATTAATAATACTACTGCTTTCCTTCAATTTTCCTAAGAGTTTATAATTTTTATTTATAAATAATTTAAAAATTAGTATAGAAATAAATGTATGCTTGTTTTCATTTTAGGTGGGACCTATAACACTGTATTTAACAATTTAAATAATGGTACGCTTATTTTCAACCCTGTAACGAAAGCTAACGAAGGATCA